AAAATGTGCCTGTTGAAGGGACCAAAACAAACTGCATCCAGAATGTGTGGGTATACTTTGTACAATTTGGATTTACAGATAACTATAAAAGCAAACCAAGTGTTCATCTACCACTAGTATAAACCATCCACACTTGAAACAAACAAAACCATTAAGTAATCGGTGATACAAAATTTCCCATTAAAATCCACTTAACTCTACTCAGGAGGTATATGTAATTTACACTCTCATGCTGGCTCCATTAGTAAGAATTTCCCCTGCCATTTAATGTCCCTTCCTCCGTGCTCCATCGGTAATCCTGATCCATCAACAATTTTCATTAGCTTCAGGAACAGCAGCATTACAAAAAGCAGGGCAGTAAAGTTTACGTGAGAAGCCTGCATACGGCCTTTTATTGTATAAGTAATGAGAAGTTACAGCCCAAGTAATTGCATCAATTAATTAATTGATCTGCTGGCACGGTTATGTATGCACGTATGTCCTGTTCTTTATTTGATCACTCATGAAACAGCCACCAACACCACCAACAAAGGCTAGAGGAATGTATCCAATATTCATATGACTGTTTCCTGAGTTGTCAAATAAAGACTTCCGCAGGGAGTTACAGTGTCACAATAATTGTAGTACAGACTGCCAGTGGCTAATGGTCCAATAATGATATTAAATTGAGTTTTACAATTTTCGGAGTCTTTTCACCACACTGGAGTGCTAAACATCCTTGTGTTCCTGACCAATTGTAGACCATACATGTAAATGATGAAAACTTCGAGTTAAAAATGACTGACAAGATGATTACGTTTCAACACAAATTGTAAACAACAAATGGTAAAATACACTGGCCCTCATAAATACCATCTCCTCCTAGCCAACCACCCTGCTACAAGGGGTCACACTAAATGTTCAACGTACAGCACACACTGTGTTGACTGGTGCACTTCCATTCCATACCCATGTAGCAGAAGTGGTAGCAAGTCAATTTTTCCAAGTCCAAGTAAAGTCACAAGTCAATTTTTGCAAGTCTGGGCCAAGTCACAAGTCATTTGGTCCAGTCACAAGTCAAGTTACAAGATTAGACATTTTGTCCAGTCCCTATTGGGAGAACATTTGAAGAAACATTTGAAACATTGGTATTGTGTTGAATGTAAGTGTTGTAAACAGTTACATGTAGGCTATTCGTACAATGTACGTGAATATAATATGTATGAGAAATGACAGTTATTGCAATACCAACAGTTAAACTCCTTCATTAAAAATCTCGTTTGCTTTACAATATGCCAATTTTGCAGTTAAGCTGTACATTTATTGCCACAATTAAGACACATGAAGCACAGTGCTATAGGCTCTACAAGCATCAAGGTACATGTACATGTAGGAAAGGAGGATAAACTTTGGGCACCTGTAGATTTAACCTTGTAAAGCTGTAGCCTACTTTTGGGCCACAATTGTCAAACTATCGCAAATTAATTAGTCCTGTGCATATTAGATTGGCCTCATATGTTAGGTGCAGTTGATTGATATGCATAGTCACTTGATCTTTGCTCAATCACTAAATCTTACTGCACGATTTGTTGACAATTCCGCCATCTGCCAATGCTTTTTAAGGTTATTTAAGGTTGTGAGAGATTGCTTCAAAAAAGGCTGTAAAGTTGGAGGTTTCATTCGGTTCATACCCACCTGACATACATGTACATGTCGGTAATTTCAGATATTAGGGGTCTAATTTTTTTCATGTCCCTGTCACATCTGACATTTGATTTTGTACGTTCAGAACACATTTTCTTATTTCCAAGAGAAATGAATTAAAGCAAATTACCTGCCAAAAATAGTAATAGCTTGAAATCAATTCCGGTGATATTCCATGTCAAATAACAAAGGTCAGATGTAACAGGGACACAAAAAGTTCACACTTTTGGACCCTAGTGGAATTACCCATGTACTTGTACATGTGATATGTGTCTCTGCTCCCTTCTGAGATGTTTTGAGTATTTATATTTGAGTAATTCAACCTTAGCAAGTTCTGACAAACTTCATGTTCCAGGGAAATCAAATGCATGTATGGAGAAAAAGCTCAAGAAGAGTAATCGACCACCATGCCCCAATTAAGCACAACGCTGCCCTTCTTTAGTAAACAGTTTGTCTGTTGAAAACCTTTGTTACTACTAACAGGACCATAATGGTGGAAGGACTATGGACATGACGGATAGGGCTACCCCCAGAACTGTGGAGTCTGATGGGTGGGAGAGGAGCGGACATCGGACCACACAGTTCTGGGGGTAGGATAGGGCATGAATAGTTCTAAACTTAGCAAAATTTCTAAGCTTCAAAGGCCAAAAATATCAAAATCTACATGTAGACCTAACAAGTTCCATGGTTCCACGTCAACGACAATCAATGCATGTAAATCTATGTGCAGTGCACGTGTGCAGTGGGTGTGGTTTAATCTGAAGTGACGTCACACTTACGAACCGGATGGGAATATACTTTTCTCCATATTGGGAGATTTCTCTCAATATGGAGAAGTTCTCCGAAGTTAAAGTACTAAGTAGGCCCATGGAGGTAGTGATTCTACCTCCATGGTAGGCCTATCCCTAAGAATTTTTGTGCACAGAGGGTAAAGTGATGTCCGTGTATGGAGCTCTTGTAATCGGGCTAATCGACATGATCGAGCATTATGCTCATAGGCCAGCACGATGGGACAGATTGCAGGGCCCCGTGGCTTGGCTAGGCTACATCTTCTGGAACACTTGATTAGCATGACCGTGCATCCGCGTCGGTCGCTGACTAACGCACTAACGAGACTGACAAAATGCACTAACCTCCCAGTTTTCAGACATTTCTAGACACAAAGGGAGCCAACTGCGAATTCACAAGTAACGTAAACTACATGAACGTTCATCTGATAAAATTCTGTTCCACTTGTTGACGCATTCCTATGTCCTACATACAGCGCAAGAAATAACAAAATTGAGCAATTTAAGCCAGACAGTAGTCACAGCTGACATGGTGGACGTAGTGGAGTGTCGTCTGCTAGTTTTTAAAATAAATTTTATGTCCGTACCATATACCCGGACCCTACCGCGTACTGTACTACTGGGCCGGGGCATGTACTGTACGTTGCTGTCCTGCCTCGCTGGTTCACGCGTCATTCTCATCTCGTAATGGTCAGAAAGTGGAACCGGAACCAGTGTAGTTCTGATCCCTTCGACGAGACCATTATAGTAAGGGGTAACGTATTTATCATTACAATGATTTTTTTTGTGCTGCTCCCCTAATTTCTTCACTTTGTGAACAGTCTTTCAATTTCATTTTCAGTAATTTAAATACAAATTGTGTTATTTCTGGATACTTATCTGGATATCGAGAAATAATTAATATTATAGTTTTTTCTAAAGGAACTCCCCCCTAATGTTTTCAGTAGGCTGTTTTAACAAGCCTTCAAATTACTCAAACGTTGAATTTTTAAATTACATTCACTAAATTGAACTTTTTGGTAGAAAGGAACATTTCTCTAGTCAAAATATATTAAACCAATTTGTATGGCAATTTTTTAAATAATACATTTTATTTTTACTTTATATTGTTAAAATTCCTCCTCTGAGTCAAGTTGTCACGTAGCGTGCCGTGATCGTCTAGTGGTTAGGACACTGCGTTGTGGCCGCAGTAACCCAGGTTCGAATCCTGGTCACGGCAGATTAAAATCTGGCACGAAAGTGATGACAGTTTTTTTTCCGTTATACGAGATAAACATTTGCAACCTCAAAGAACAAAGTCATATAGTTTCTGTTTCGGTCAATTGCTGAATTTTCCGTTTCGAGTTGGCATTTGCAATATGGTAAAAACCAAGCATCCGTCCTTGCCGTTTTGCGCGCTGTCCCCGGCAAAGCCTAAAAATTTCACATTTGATACACAAGGCGTGGGTAGCATGCATTGATGGAGCTAACTGCATTTGGTGAGGGAAGGTGGCATGCCAATCCAACCCCACCTCACCCTTCCTACACACAAGCACACACCCACCCCACCGCAATAAAAAAAACAAACAAAACTGAGTTATTTAAGTAAACTAGATAGGTTTTGTGGTAGAACCATGAATTTATCTCCTTTTTGAGTATGTGGCGTTTTGAAAAGAACCGGGGGTAATCAACGTTTCGGACATTATGCTCTGTCCGTCGTCAGGAGAGACTGTAGAGGTGTGCAATTAGTATAATGGTTTTTATTAATAAGAAAAATCAGTGTGCATGCATGTATCTGCTTAAAAGCAGATATCTTGAATGGGAAGATATTTTAGTATTCGTATACAGCATTTTTATAACCTCAGAAAAGGGGCTTATTGGCTTATAAAGCCTGAAAATTTGAGTGTATTTTTTCAACTTTTCAACTCTATTTTGAATAATATTTTTTCATCCTAAAAGATGTTTCACAGTACGTGTGATGACAAACTTTTTATTATCAAGTTTTTCAAGCAGTGTTTTGAAATTCTTGAGATGTAATGGATAAAACCTCATTCCTGTTACTTGTGATTTTGTCAATAAAAGGGCTGACAAACCTCAGAAAAAGAAGTGACCCCAAAAAGAAATCTGACAGACATGGGTAAAGGTCAGACAGATGGGTAAAGACGAGTTTTCACTGAAATTATATTTTGAACAACAAATTACACCATTCAAGAATAACAGGTTTAAGAGTAGGCCCCCTATTCAAGACAGTTTAGACATTCCTATTGGTTGAATGCCTGTCACGTGGCCAGTCTTAGACGAGTAAGAAACCACCAGCTGAGTCATCCCGTTCTGTACCTCCTCTCGAAGTAAGCGCCATGCATGAGAAAATCTCTACAAAAGGAGATTGGAATACGTGTACAACTCCTTGAGACAGGCACATAGCAGTACACGGCTAGAGTGGTGTTAAAAAACGAAATACAATTGTTGAATGTTTTATGAATTGTAATAAATGTGTTTGGCAGGTCTTGAACTAATATTTAAGACTGGCTGTAAATGGGTGCTGCATTTAGCCATGTCCATTCTCTTGAGCTTGTCTTCAGTCCAGCCAGGCACCTGTTTATTCCCTTATTTAACAACATTTCTTGACATTACTTGTATAATGTTGATGCATGTCAGGGGCCTAGCTGAATGGAATAAAAAGAATTCAGAGAGAGAGTTTCTATTTAATAAGTGAATTGTTTTGCTTTACTCTGATGCAAGAGGAAAATTACTTGCTTTGTGAATTGGCTCGATGAGGCAATGAACTGGGTTCTATTGATTAAAAATTAACAGCACAACTGCACAACAGCGGTTGTAATATAAACCTATCTATCATAACATGACAGTTTATTTCCATTGTGCCATTTACAAGTATTGACTGTCATATACCCTCCGAATTGTTTTCCAAAATACTCTCACTTACTGGAGATAATAATCACTGACCAACATCTTGTATACTAATCATCTTATGGATATTTACCAGCCAATCTCTGCATACTAACTGCTCCATATCCCATCAGATGAGGGACAAATTTTATGGCAACCTATTCTCATGTACACTGACACTCAAGTATGCCTACTACAATGTTGGGTTCTGGTCTCACAGAAGCAAACCCCAGACAGTCCTGGCTGTGTGTAATGCATAGGTAACATTTGTGTTTCACTGTACAAATCAAGGACATGCACGTAACGCCCAGAACACACAATCTGACACCCTCTTGTCAATTGTACTTTATGGGGAATATCAACCAACAATTTTTTTAATGGGCAGAAAATTTTTTAAAGAATCAGTTTTTGACGACCTAACTTTCAAAAGTAATTTACATTAAACATCAAGGCTGGCAGTTGCAAAGAAATAGATTTGATATTTGATAATGCAAAGCTGAAACCTTATCCAATCCCCCCCCCAAAAAAATCAGACATTTAGTTTTCTTAAGCCATTTGCCAGGCATTTATTTCATTTCTTTATAATCTCAACTCCCGCCAGTAATTTTTTTGTCAGGATTCTTCTTGAAATATCTGATATCCTTCATCATCTAGAAAAAATTGTGGAACACTCTTTGGTACCGGTATTGGAAAGAAATATAGGCGAGCGTTCTAGATTCCTCACAAATTGTCTGAGACCCTCTACTGGATTTTGATGTATCTGGCATGGTGTGTCTGATCATGATGTGGAACTAGCATGACTAAACAAACAGCCACTTCATTCGAGTGGGCATATCCTTGGCAATAATAAAAACAATTTGCTTTGATCTTGAACCAGTGTTCACAAGTCCATCACAAGACCCCTTAAGACCACCACAAGACCCCTTAAGACCATCACAAGACCCCTTAAGGCCATCACAAGACCCCTTAAGACCATCACAAGACCCCTTAAGGCCATCACAAGACCCCTTAAGACCATCACAAGACCCTTTAAGACCATCACAAGACCCCTTAAGACCATCACAAATCCTACAAGATTGAAACCAGACACTCCAACCTGAATTAGCTGTAAGCGATTCAAATGAACTGCAAACAAAGCCTTCCTTTGTCACTGCTGATCTGATTACAGTAAGGCCTCGTTAATAAGAGGTCCTTTGGACTTGGCAAATTACCTTGTTATCACAGGAACCTCGTATTATCAGGAGTGAAACAATGAAAAACAAAAGCTTGGGATATAAAAATTTCCTTGTAAGCAGAATCTTGTATTGACAGTGCTCTTATTAATGAGGTATGACTGTACTTGTTACTGATCATGTGCCTGGTCATGTGATAGTCTCGACTACGACACCATTTTTTTAATATCCGTGACAACCTCAAATCTTGACCCCAGCACTAACTGTATCAAAACCAAGATCCTTTCCTCATCCACAAAATTAATAGGGAGGAACTCTTGGTCCAATTCGGAGGCCTTGTAGAATGAAACACAGCGTCTTGCTTGCTGACACCACGAAGGCAGGAAGCTCATATCCCACGATGCACTGAGAGACAGCAAACTCCTTGACAAACAATCATCGGTGGCTTCCGCGAGCAGAAGCCAACTTCTCTTCTCCAAAGGTCCATGGGGTGCAAAAGAACTATATCTTACATCTTGGTTTTTTTTAATAAATAGCATACACTTGAGTCTGTCAACTTGAAAAAAGAACTTATTTCTTTTTGTTCTTTTGCCTTAATTTCTGTCCTTCCCCTCTGAAAGCCTCAAATGAGTCTGGTACGTCCTGCAAGTAAAAACAAAGGGGAACAGACAGTTACACAGGAAATTTGGAATGATGCCAAAAAAAGGCCAGAGGCCATCCATATCTGAACAAGTGGGCGATAGCCAATGTTAGCACTGTGTCTTCAGAGCTTTCTAAGATGCTTTCAGGGAAACAATTCCCCAAAAGCTTGCTTGGCAGGGAGATGAGTGCCAAAATAACCGATGTAAGCATACTCCAATAATCCTTGGATCAGTCACGTATTTCTACAACTCCACACTCTCAAACCCCAACAGCTTGTCGGTTGCACTAGGCGATGCTAATAACAATTTTGGTGTACCCCAATGTGACACGCCATCCACAGACTTTGTGCACATGATAAGTCTGCTCATGCGTGAAAATTATCCATGATGTTACCGGTAAGTCTGGGATGCAACCAATGATTCAATTGCTGAAAATCAAATGAGCCCCTACCTCACTGTTGCCATTGGCAACTGCTGGCCTGGCTGTTCTGATGAACGTAATGGTCCCCTTCTGGTAATCATAGTTGGGGATACCCCTGCACAAAAGACATCAAAACTGAGAATTGAAAATAAGAAGGGTAGAGAACAATCCTTGAAGTGCTTTTGTAGTTTCTGACGGGAATGTCTTAAAGCATGATATGTACTTCAATCTTTGCCAGGAAACACCATTTGGGAATGTGAGGTGTCCCGTTTGAGAACACTGGCCCACTTGAGAATAGGTATAACTGAGAAGAGTCTGCTAACAACTGGGAAGACACTGACAACATACATCCTATATTAAAAGGACATAATTCAAAGTGGAAGAGGGACGTTGCAACTCTCACGACCCTCAGTGGGCTTGGGCTATGGAAATGAATGACATTTTTCTGATATCCATACTCAAAAAAAAAAATGAATTCAAATCTAAGGGTTATGAAGTACATCTCAGGGTTGTAAATTGGAACATCAGAGACACAGGAATCAATCTTTATCTTTCAGCTCTCACACAAAACTCACACTCTATTTGTTGTACTGATATTGAAAGAATTTCACACTACAATCTTTTATAACTGGTTGCCATACCTTCTCATTACAGGTGCGTTCAGCGGGACAGGCTTTGCATCCGAGTGTTTCTTTTTGCCGTCTAAGCGGTTTCCTTGACCCTTAAAAGCCTGTTCAAGAACAGGAGATGTGAAAAAACCCACTTGTAAAAGTGCTACACAAAACAGACGTCTGGCAGTAGACATGTTTCGCCTGAACTTGAATCCACGGAGTGAAAAAAGACGTTTGGATCTAACAAGTGTTCAAGTCCAGCTTGAGTACCATAAAAAAGAAAGACGAAACACGACCCACATTTTGAAGTCATCCTTTTCCTTGGTTTCCTAACAATAAACTTAAAAACGAATTTTGGTCAGTAACACCAACACAGAATTGTGTACATTTCAGCATTGCATTGGAGTCCATCACAAGTCCCTTCATAAGACCAGTCACAAATCCTTTCGCAAGACCAGTCAGGGGACTTGTGATGGACTTGACCACAACACCGGTATATTCCTGAGCAAACCCTCACCATGAATGTGTCTGTGTCTACATAATGGGTGATGCCTGGACCGTCAACCTGCATATCCTGTAAGTGCAGAGAAAATGTGAAAAAAGTGAAAAGAAATGAAAACAAAATCTGCAACACAGACAGAACTCAAGGATAGAATGGAATTTGGAGGCTGCCAATGGGAGGTATCAGTGCCTCTCACGTGAAACTCCGAAACCTTTTCCACAATGTGATGTCCATCCTGGGATGATGTCCACGGCCCTTAAAATTTATTATCTGTACATTAATTAATTACACCTTCTATCTGTCTTATGACAAACCTCTGTGTCTTGTTCGGCCGGTTTTTGTCTCTCTGGTTCGACGTAACCAACTGGAGCAGCAAACTCCACCTGTTGAACAAACAAAATCAAACCAAACCTTCACTTCCTCAACTTTATATCTCTGGTCAACACACAAATCAAATGAACTGTTGTGACAAAGGTGGTCCTTCCCAACCTACTTCCACCAATCATCCCCCTTGAACTGATTTGTTTGCCTCAGGACAATATGCGTCCCTCAGGTGTTGAAAATGCCATATCCCACATCACAGCCGTCAACAATTGTTTCATACCTCTGTCTTAATCTTGTTGAGGTTGAGGAATTTATCCAAAGAAACAATCTCTGAATTTCAGAAGTTCAGAAGGTGATAGGCCTACTGTCAAACAGTATAATTAACATAACAGACGTAAATGATATCGTCTACGAATGCACTGTTCCCTCACTTTTTTTAATTACATAAACTTTAATGTGAACACAGTGCAGATATCAGTGAGTACAAGTTCATATGTCATGTAGTCTGGTTAGTGGTCCCTGCATTACTTTATTATACGCTGCAGGGACGGGAGCGAGTCTGTTATATGTGAGCACCATCATCGATCGCATTCCCTGGTAGCCTATGCACAAAGGTATCATGGATACCATGCAAAACTGGTCAAATGAGTGACAACGGTTGCTCTCGAACTTCCTGAAGCTTTTCTGTCTTGTGTGTGTACGTGTGCTATCGGTAGAATGAGATGTCCCACAGTGGGTGTGATATGTGGATATATCGCCCTGTCATGTGATCGCTCTGGGCCAATGAACAGACAGTATCCAAGACAGAGGTATGACAACAGGACTTATAAGAATGTAAATCAACTCACGCTCATGTCACATTCAATGATGGACACAGCATCGCTGGGTTTGGTTTCCAAAACTTGTAATTCATAATCCTGGGAAGAAATAAAAAAGCAGGAAGTTTTATTCACATTATTTGGCATAAAATCTTGGCAACAAATCAATTGCAAAAACAAACACTTCAGTGCAGACAGTAGATTAAACCTGAAAGAAACAGAATTGACCCGACACAGGAAAAGAAATGAAAGCAACTGAATTCCATGTGCCATATCAAGGCTGTATATATTTATATCATACATTTACACCAAAACATCTTGTTTTCTTTGAAAAAACAATCAAACAAACACACACACAAACAAACAAATTATATCAGTTACCTTCAAATCTTATTAAGGAAAAGAAAATGGCATTTGTACATTTTTTTCTAATTATTTCTGAAATAAATGATTTGAAAAATAATTCCATTGGCTGTAGCACTGCTTACCTTATTGTTGTACTTGATGGCAATCATGTCTCCTTTGGTGAGGCAAGCAAAGCCACGCAGAATATTCTCAAGACTACACGGAATCAGTCAGGAAAAAGGGATACACAAAAGTTACCAGTCTCATCAACTTCTTTAGTCTCAAGGGACTTGTTGATTAGCAAGGAGGACATGAACAAAGTGTGGAAGGTTTGCGGTATGATCTCTTCTGTGGGTTGTAGGAAGAACTAGTTGGTTCATCTTGACATTTTGAACTGCACGCTCTGTTCATGATGTCTCCCGATTGCAAAAGAACAAAGGGTTTGAAACGTCGAGTTAAACCAATCGATTTTTCTTAGAACTAAATAACTCACAAAACAGATGAGCTTCCATGGTGTTACCGCAAACCTTTCACACTTTCTTCAATCCTGTTTTTCATAAAAAGCACAGAGATTGCAAGACAGAAACCTACCAATGTGGCAGAAGCCTGTTTCAATTTTGTTTAAAACCGTTTTGCTAACAAACGCAGAATGATTAAAGTGTCTGGTACATTCTGTATAATGGAAAAAGGCACCTTTACACCCTGTTTAAATCTTCAAACAACAGCCCTGATTTTTTTAATCACTGAAAATGCTTCTGAATCGATAAGCAAAATGCTTTTCACAATGAATCCAGAGTAAAAATGGAACGTTTCTCCTGGGTAAGGATACACTGCTTTGGGGTTTGAGATGTCTAAGAAATCCACGGATTGAGGCTGGAACTTGGAGTAGGTTGCCACGGACAGGCTGCAGCTCTCAACCGTCAAGAGATCACCTTCATCCAGAAGTAAGTTCCTCATCATCTGTTGAGAGCAGAATAGAGGGATTATCCACAAACTGCCATAATGAATAATCTGGACTGGAGAGCTAAAAGGAATCATTAAAGATTGAAACAGGATTGAAACAAAGTTCCTGCAAATTTTTTTTTATCTTGCCCAATGTTCAATTTAAAGTCAACTGCAAATATATCAGCAATTTTCAAATTTCCATACTTCTGCTAGACAGAATTGTCAACTAGACTTTAAGGACAAAAACTCTAAAAAGTTATTTTGTTCGGGGATCTACAATAAAGTGTAATGAGAAATTAAAGCCATTAAAGCAACACAGCACATTTCGTAAAGAAAGCTTACACTAAAACCGGGCTTGAAAAAATTAAAATTATGTTAAACTACAAGTTATAGTTGTCTTTACAAGTAAATGTTGCAGGATCTGAACGTGACAGATAAAACAGAGGGTATCTCATAAAAAATACAATCACAATGAGGAATGAAAAGCTAGAAAATAATCAAAGTATGGGGGTAATGAGAACAAACATTCACTTCAAATAACAAAAAAAACCAAGGAGTCATATATTACTTCATGGGGAATTCCATCGCCTGATGTGCTTACCCAATATGGAATGTAGACCTTGCCTTCATCGGCTACAAATTCCAACACTCCGCAGTGAGTTGTTCTGGCAATCTTCTTGTTCGTCAGTTTAAACAGCATTGGGTAAACAATGTTCTGCCGTGCTGCAAGTGACCAAAAACTATTTTCAATGGATGCAAGTTTACAGAATGAACAATTTGATAAGAAAGTTTGAAGAAAATAAACAAACACGTCGAAAATAGAAAAATAGAAACAAAAAACTATTTATAGTAATATGGCTTCCTTTGGGCTGTGTATGATTAAAGACAGATTTTGCAGTAATATTCAATATTCAGTTTTAAATAACATCGATCGTCTTCAGAAATAAACAATTATTTTAAAGTTGTAAAAATAACTCTTTCTTTTTTTCAGTCCTTTTTTGAAAGTAAAAAAGGTAGAAAAATAAAAACAAAAAAACAAACAGAGATAACATGAACAACTTACTCAACACATCGAGAGCTGATGGAGGCATAATGACTGTTAAGGGGAAAAAAAGCACCGATTACTGAAAATAAGTGATTCCTGTTTGCTGTACAAAAACAAATAAACTGAAAAGGAATGCAGAGGGAAATTAAACAAACTGTTTGATTGGAAAGGCACGTCTTTGAGTGCATTTACAATGACACAGGCTGTGATGTGGACACAAATTGTTCTGATGTAATCTTTTGAGGAAAAAACTATATACATATATTTAGTCTCATTGGAACAGTGTACATAGTAAGATTGAAGTTGTCCAGAGGGTAATTCCAGAAATTAGGGGTTCAAAAGTGTGACATTTGTTATTTGGCATGGAAATATCACCGGAGTCGATTTCCAACTATTACTATTTGTTTGGCAGAGAATTTGCATTAATTCATCACTCTTGGAAACTAGAAAATGTGTTCTGAACTTACAAAATAATATGTCAGATGCGACAGGGACACGAAAAAAAATGGACTCCTAATTTCTGGAATTAACCTAATGTGAAAGTTTGTCACTTGTCCTGAATGACTGTGAGTTGTGTCGTGTCATGTTATTCACTAAGTGACAAGTGATGAGATGAAGTTTTAAGGAATTCAGGTCTGCATCTTACTTTTGCCTCCTCGTTCCACATCTTCCCTGTAAGCTCCAGTAAGCATCGACACAGAGTAACATCGGTACTGTGTATTGAACTGCTGGGGAAACTGCCCAAACATCTGAAATCCAAACTAAACACACAGCAGAGAAAACAACATTTAAAGGTTGTGTACACCGTTAGTTTTTGGTCATAATTTCACTAGATTGGCTGCTTATGGTGCAACTTACATTCCATTGACTTGTTTCATGTTTTGAATCAACTGCTTTGAGAAAAAACGAGAAAAGCAGTGCGGCATTTTCAATGATTAAATTGAAAATCTTGTAAAAAAGATCTTGTGTAAAATCTGTGAATTACAGGGCATTTGTAGTAAGGCAAACAACATCTGCGGCGTAAGAGTGGGAAACAGGCATGGCAAGTTCTATTTCGCTCAACCCTCGCATGCTGAAGTCACTCTTTGGGTCACTTGGTAAACACCTCAA